GATAAAAACGAGGGAGCCGGAAAGAAAAAAAAAAGGAGAGAGATAGAAGAAAAACGCGAAAGCAATTTATTTACATGACTGGAAAATGTAACGTAATCCCATGTACACGCATGTATTACAAAATACACCGTTTGAAGTCCGCTTAGCGTTACGCAATTATTTTATCCTAATGATATACGACACGACACCTTCGAAGACTGTCAGGCAGGAAAAAAAACGACAAATTAGACACCGTAGAACAGCGATTCAATCTGTCCACCGTCCTCGATAAAATTCCACACATGCGTGTGTCTCTCCCTTTCCCGCTTCAGGATATATTTACCACGTCGTGTTATCGCGCAAGTTTCCAATTTTTGTGCACATAATTGCATAAACGAATATAGGAGACACAGTCGCGAGAAACTAATACACGGTCAAACAATTAAGTTTTGAGACTCGCTTCGCATTTCCGAAAGTTTGATTTGTGCTGCCATTTTAGGGGGTTATTCACAACTCAATATTCAACAAATGTGATGCAAATTTTAAATTATTTGGTTCAATAGTTAATGAGATACAGTTATGCAAAGTTGTGTTACAAAATTTTGTTTAAAAATCGGTGTAATGGAAGGAACGCTTGACAACGCGCCAACATTAAACTCTGCGTTAAATTAGAGAAGTCTCCAACAGAAATGTTACAAATGATTCAACAAGCCTACGGAGAGTTAGCTATGCATAAGAGTAACGTTTAGAAAATACAGATGACATAAAAAAAAACGTGAATCAAATTTAACATAAAATGACAGTACAAACGGATCAAACTTTCGGAAATGCGAAGCGAGTCTCGAAACTTACTATTTGAGCCTCCATAGAATCTATCTCAAATAAAAATTATTACAAAATCCGTTTGACGCTTCTCGCGATCGCACGTCACGATTGACGCGTAGATGAAATAGAATTAAGTTTCGAGACTCGCTTCGCATTTCCGAACGTTTGATCCGTTTGTGCTGCCATTTTAGGGGGTTATTCACAACTCAATACTCAACACGTGATGCAAATTTTAAATTATTTGGTTCAATAGTTAATGAGATACAGTTATGCAAAGTTGTGTTACAAAATTTTGTTTAAAAATCGGTGTAATGGAAGGAACGCTTGACAACGCGCCAACATTAACCTCTGCGTTAAATTAGAGAAGTCTCCAACAGAAATGTTACAAATGATTCAACAAGCCTACGGAGAGTCAGCTATGCATAAGAGTAACGTTTAGAAAATACAGATGACGTAAAAAAAAACGTGAATCAAATTTAACATAAAATGACAGCACAAACGGATCAAACTTTCGGAAATGCGAAGCGAGTCTCGAAACTTAATTCTATTTCATCTACGCGTCAATCGTGACGTGCGATCGTGAGAAGCGTCAAACGGATTTTGTAATAATTTTTATTTGAGATAGATTCTATGGAGCGGAAAACGAGAGTCGATGGTCGTTTTGTAGGCAGGAGTCGCGTAAAAGACGGCGAGATAATTGGCAACTTGTCGCATGTATATACCTATACACACGTTTATTTTAATGCCGGCAAGAGTGTCGATCGTAATGATCACCGGACGTAAATTTGACGCCTTGCTCTCGAGAGGTGCGTAAAATCACCACCGTTTTACATGCCGAGCGTGTAATTTCGCGCGTGTCTCTCCGCGACTGGAAATTGGAGCGCTGTGACTTACGCAAGTAAAATATGCATATATAATCCGCACGTACGCACCAACACAGCCGCGCGGTCTCTCAAGATCGCCGATCGAGATCGATATTCTTAATTAACCGTTAACATCCGCTCATCGCCGCCTTCGATCCGCCTTCGTGGACCGTCAATGCATTTTATTATGCGCGTCCGTTTATCGCTTTTCAAGTAACTCTAATGCGCAGATTTAGTTAGTATCCCGCCCTCAATGAGCTCAATTATACTTTCAAGAGCCGCGCGAAAACCTTCACTTTAGAGAGAGCGGGGAATACATATCAATTTTCTAAAATTATAACATAACCAGTATCATAGTATCGTATAAATGTTAATTAAACGAGTTGATAAACGTTAAATAAAATCACACTACCATTATTACAATCTCTATTATCGCGAATAAATATAGAGATTATTTTCTCGCGACTGTGTGCTAAATATCGAGGTTTAAACTCACCTAAAATTATATGTATATATATACCGGTTTTAATT